TCAATGTGCTACTCCAAAACTTCAGAGCTAACAAAACTTCTGGGAGGGCCTGTTCTTTTTCTTTTTTCGTAGGCCTGCGACAACCGACACCAACAGAGAGGCAATATTGTACCATACAGTCCAATCCAAATCAAAACAACGCAATATATTGCATAGGGAACAATACACACGTTCGCCATGAGTTTGGGTGAAGCCGATCGGAAGCGAAAAGCGGCCGAACACCTCGCGTCGGCAAAACACCAAGAAGAAATAGAACCGCCAAAACAGAAGCCGAAGGCGTTGCCGTCACCGCCACAGAACTTTGTGGTAACCTATGTAAGGAAGAAAGAATGAACGAATACATTGAATTCAACCATCGAAGAACCGAATAATCAACAGCGTCGTCCGCATTACAGCTGGTTATTTTGGCTGACCGGATGGTTGTTTGTGAATATTGCCCTTTTCTGCTCTTCTATTTCTCGATCTCGGTGTCGTGCTTGTCGCAACGTACCGAAACCGCGAAAACAACACGTATCGAATTACCTACAAAATGCAACAGAGCCGCCTCTGCGACGGCGGGATGCAAGAAATGACTACTGCTGCTGCGTGCGTGAATGAAGTGTTTCCGAATGCGACCATTCGCACAAATCGCCGACAATTGAAAGAAGACATGGACGCCGGACCCAACCCATCCTTGGTCATATCCCTCGATGATTGCGACGACGAGAACGAGAGCGACAACGGCAACGCTGGCAACGGCAAGCGCGACAAAACAACAAGTATCAACGGCGGACAAACCACCAAAACTAACGAAAGCGGAACAGTGTTGTGGTCGAGAGAGCAACGGAATTTGTTTGAGAAATATCCGAAGAAGCGACGAAAGTCGATAAAGGACATTCGAGAATGCCTAATCGCCTTGAAGGAATCCTGGTCGGCCGCGTCGTCGTCGACGACTACTAGCAACTGCAGCATCATTTCAACCGCGCCGCCTATTTCCAAGTCCGTTGATATTTCCACCAACAATGGTGATGCTTGTGGAAAATAATTTTTTGAAAAAATTGAATTGCATCATATCGAATCAAATTATTCTCCAACCACGAAAGGAGACAAAAAATCAGCGCTGAACAATAATAACGACACTCATGGGGGATAGTGTGCTGTTGCTGCTGTTCTATGAAACTGTATCTAACAAAATTTTGAAGGGAACCGAGAAGAAACAATTAGGAAAACAACACTAGGGAATATATGTCTCCAGAAACAACAGGATGCAATGGCTAATCACTATTGGCAGCTTTCATTGTGTAATTCAAGACAATAGTGTTATCAATCAATGCACAAGTGAAAGAAATTCCGACACTCAAGGGGGATAGTGTGCTGTTGCCGTTGCTCTATGAAATTGCATCTAACAAAATTTTGAAGGGAATCGAGAAGAAATAATTAGGAAAACAACATCAGGGAACAGATCTCTTCAGAAAGAACGGGATGCAATGGCTAATCACTATTGGCAGCTTTCATTGTGTAAGTCAAGACAATAATGTTATCAATCAATGCACAAGTGAAAGAAATTAAAATTAGTAATCATTAAACCGTTTGAAGCAATTTTTCCAACGAAGAAATCTTTTGCTCTATCTCAGGGCAGGCTTCTCATGTAAAAGCACCGTCAACCACTCCATCTTGTCCGTCAATGATGAACCTGGCCTTCGTGGTTTTACATTATTGAATGCTGTGTTAGAACGAACGTTTGAAAAACTTTCATAGCAACAATCCCTTATGGTAGTTTCGAGTCAGTCTCCTGAATGGAAGCATTGCCCTATTCCAATTCACTGTGGGCATTTGGATTTTCATTCCCGTTCGTTCCGATTCGGCAAACTCGAGTAAAGTTCTGCTGTCACATTGGAGTTCGAGCATCGAATAACTTCCACGGGGGGTCCATTCGTGGTACGCATCAAGAAGATACCTACTCGTCACAAGTTCCTCGAGCTCCGTGACTCATTGGACGGACTTGCCAGCGAAGTACTTCGTGCCTTGTTTTAGCAGGGCGTCCCTGACTGGGTGTCTGTTGTCGTTCCTTGTGACATCTTCCAAGACACCTGCGCGTTGCGGGAGGACTGCCCTTACCTTGTTGTAGCAGGGCGTCCCTGGCCTGGTTTCTAGTGCCATTCCTTGTGACAACTTCCAAAACACCTGCGCGGTACGGGAGGACTGCATTCAAACCTAAGTTATTCTGATAGTCCTTTATTTTTTGCTCACACAAACATCGACATTCAAAATAGGGGGCGTAAAACCTGACACACGACCCACCGCCTGACCTAAACTTAGTCTGTTTCATTGGTCCGAGTACGAATATGTACTGTTCGAACAGGAATACCAGGGGGAAGACGACTCAATTGATGATTGGTCGTTTGATAACATACCTGTAAGATTAGTATTATTTTTTCATACTACTACCGCAATACTGCAATATGTACTACTAGTAGTATTGTTTTACTAGAGTAGTGAGTAGTAACGTACGAGTACTTCTCGTAACCGTTACCTGTACTCGTACCGTCATCTCGTACGTTACGTACCGTACTAATCTTACTCTACTTTGAACCGAACCGCACGGTATCCTTCTACGGAGTCTATCCTGTTTCTGTACCACTTTCCATCGACAACCAACCAAAGGAAACGGTACGTAGTTGTCTGTTTGATTTCAGATGAAAAATCCCATCTGATGGAACAGGAAGGATATCATCCATATATGCGGAAGAAGTAAACAGCGAGCTATTCAATACGTCGTAGACGAGATATATTCATTCTGTGAATGTAGTGAAGAACCAATCGATTCATGAGTACTACCACCATCGGGTGACATTGCATTATTTCATAGAATACAAGAACGACCCGATACTGTCGTTCTTAGTTTATTGACACGAGCCGTTTGAACCTTGGTGCGAACCGAACAGAAAGAAATYATGGATTCCTCATCATCAAGTCCTCTGGAGCGACTGAACGATGCCTCAAGAAGAGCAGTAGAACTTGTGGATCGATTTGCACGCACGGAACCGCCACAGCACGAAGAAAGCGACAACCGCAACACGGATATTAACGATAAAAAGAACCCGTGGAAAAATCCACAAAGCATCGAGGAGGAGTTGATCGCCGCGCGGACCTCTCTTGCGGAAGCCTGGAGGGACCTCCAAGCTGAGCACCAGCGGGAACGCCTCTGCCTCAGTGAAAATCGGAAAGACGACGCCGAACAAAACCACGGCGAGCTCTCGGAGGAAGAATTCCGATCCATGTACATGGACACAATCACGGATGCTTTTGCAGACGTCCTAGAAGAAATGCAGACAGAAACACATCAGGGCAGCAGCAACGCTTCCGTTGTCGATGTGGAAGTTTTGGTTGACTGCCTGCAATCGGGGATCGAGTTACTGGAGGACGACCAGCGCTGCAAAAGGTCGTACTTTGAGTCTCTGACGAAGCTAAGCGAAGACGAAGATGCGAACATGGAGGATGAACGGGGCAACGACGACGGACTTTCACTAAACGTCTCGATTCACGAAAAARAGAAGCGCTCGCTCGGATGGCTTCCTCTTGTCGAAAGGAGTGCCGTGTAGTAGGAAAAATAATGGTTAACAAGGTACACGCAACATAGGCGTCGTTGGCAAAAAGCATGCATTATTATCGTCAGAAGAAGAAATAACCAAGGCAGGAACTGACATGCATTCACAGGACTCTCAATCATTCTATTGGATCCGAACAAAAGTTCAAGGAATGAATCAATGTAAGATGAAATGCGTTTTGATTTTGTTTTTCTTTGGGAGCCTCTCCATGTGTCTTGGTGATTTGAGCTCAATGTCGCAAGGTCGCTGCCGCATCGTGTAGAAAACCATTTTTGGGCTTTGATGACCGCGTATTGGGATAGTTGTACAGAGTATTGCATTGACAATTTTTTTGTCATAATTCAAAGAATAATGCTATACAAAGAGGACAGGGCCCGAAATTATACTGCATCTTGTCAAAGATTGTACCACATCCTGTTTCTAGAGTAGGACCTGCAATATTCATCTATTATTGCTCGTTTGAAGAGATACAATATGAGCGTCATAATCTGTTGTGTGTCGCTTGTTCTTGCTTATAATTTTTTCCCTTCTCGACGAARAGACTAGGTAGTTCTTAGTGATCAATCTATGTGCAATATATGCTTAGCAGGAGACTCTATAATAATTATCAGTAACTTACATTAGCTTACTCGCTATCATCTTCATCGCTGTCGCTGTCGCTGTCGCTATCGTCATCGTCGCTGCTGTCCTCTTCCTCGAGCCATTCCAAGAATGCCTGGACGGACTCCATCCGAAAGAGCATTTGCTTCGGATCATTCTCGTTGTCCTCGCCGTCGCTTCTCCGTTCGTTGGCCCAGGCCAGGATCGCATCCTCACTTAGGACCTCTTGGTCGTGTAGAGTTTGAAGCACAAACCGAAAGGCCATCCCGGAACGAAGCTTTTGGGCAATCTCCGTGGTGATTTGTAGAACATCAGTCGCATAAGGATCGCTCGAGGCTTGTTGTGCTTGCGGTTGCTGATCCACCGTGGCCGCGTGTTCAAGCGCCTTCACCACAGCGATTTCCTCTTCGATGCCCCGGCAGAGCTTCTGCAGCATACCAGTCCAAAACGTTTCGAGCTTAGCCTTGAGACTCGACACGAGGCGCCCGTCACTCATTGCGGGTGACACTTTCATCTTACGCATCAGAGCCAGGAGGCATGCGCTTGCGCAGTCGCTGTAGGTAGCGTTTTGCGAGAATTTGAAGGAGTTCAGCTCGATTGAGAGGTTTTCTATAGGGTGGCACTCGTCGTCAAATTCCATGCAGATCTCCGTCATYTCCTTAACCACGTCAACCCCTTTTTGTCGGCCAATTGCTGGTTCGTCGGAAGAAGCGACTGCTGCTCCTCCAACGTAGTTGAGATTTTCAAAGCCATCGTCATCTTCGTCCCCAAAGACCACGGTGCCACCTGTGAGCTCGTTAAAGGCTAGTTTTACGTCGTCGTCCTCATCCTCTTCAAAATCAGAGAAGTCATCATCGTTCTCAAATTCCTCGGCCTCGAGGTTCCGGAGGCGGCGTTCGCGTTGGCGATAGTAACTGGTAGGATCGCCCCCGATGCTCTGTAGCTGCATCAACACGGCCAGAGGATCGTTGTTTCGGTTGACCTGGAGACATAGGTTGTCGCTATCAATGCTGTAATCATCTGAGTCAAGGGTGGGTTTCCACAGCCGTCCCTTTCCATCCAAGCCAACAATGTCCTGCTCAGTGTCGCCGCTATCCGCCTCAGGACGGTCACCCTCTTCACTATCGCTACTGGAATCGCTGTAGCCATCGTAATCATCTCCCCAGTCATCATCGTCGTCGTCCTTGGCCAGCGTAACGCGAGAGAAGGCGGGGAGGCGGACACCAGAACCGATCACACAGCCCTCTCCAACAAAGCACCCAGTTTCCAGGATCGCGCCCTCCCTAATGATGCCTCCTTTTGCAATAACACAGGCTCTTAACTTGGCTCCCTTCTCGATGACGGCTCCCTCCAGAACATGGCAGTCGACGAGCTCAGCCCCATCTCCAATCAAGACAGAGTCGCCCACCACACAGTGCTTCAAGAGGCAATCCTCGCCAACCACCACGTGGCTGCCCATCATGCCCGGCCCATGGACTACCGAGGTCCTGCCAACCTTAGCAGGGTGCAGGCTCTCCTTGTATTGGTAGTAGTTGTAGTGATTCTTGCTGCTGGCGCCGTCAGCAGGATCGCTTGCATCTGTGKTTTCCAACGATTGCAGGGGCTTAGGTCGGGTCCCGTAGCGGCGGGGCGACAACCAGTTGTTGGAACCGGAAGAAGTACGATTGCTGCCACCCGCTGCCTTGTAGTGGTAATCGGCAACCTTGCACAGCTTGTAGCGGCGGTTGCTCTCGGTGACGCCTTCCTCGCTTCCAACCAGCGTCATTTGGTCTAAAACGGTTGGATAGGCCCACCGCTGGAGTAGGTCCTTGGAAATTGCGTGGTACGTCTGAAAATCGACCACCCGGGCCGCGTAGTTGCGGGACAACGATGGTTCGAGGACATGCGCGAAGATCCTGGTCTGAAGGCCGTCCTCCTCCTCCGCTACGCTGTTGGTCACAAAGTCGTGCGCCAGGTCCAGGTAGTCAAAATTGTCCTCGAGGCGCCCTAGGACGTCTGGTGAGCAGATGCTTATCCCTGTGTCCATGAGGTCATGTCGGAGAGAAAAGCCTCCCCCCTGGCGGCTCTGGCACTGGGTTAGCAGGGAGCAGGGGACCGTTGTCCCGACTGTTTCACTGCTGCCGTTGTCGTAATACATAATGCGGTAATCACCCGCGCTACTGGGGGACTGGCTGCTGGAGTTCCCATCTTCCTCGTCGACGCCGCTGTTCTGGGCGGTGCCTCCCTGGGAATCTACCGTGGCAAAAGTCTTGGCCAGCGCCGGGACGAGCCCGACCACCAGATCCGAGGCCCGCGGGACAATCGATGGGCGGCGGACATCGCTCGCACTYCCACCATGAGTCCCGCTCGGTCCCACTGGCTTGAGGACCACCGTCATGACGGCGGCCGAGTCGTGCCGGCTCCGCTCTCCGTGGCGTTCCAGGGCCTCCCGCAGGTCCAGATCGGCCACGACGTCTCCGCTGACCAGGAAAAAGGGTTTAGCCTGCTTGGAGGCCCGAATCCAATTGCGTTTGTAGAGCTCCCGGAGGGCATCCCCCGCATTCGTGAGGGAGGTGTCCTTCAGAAAGAGAAGCTCGAGCTTGGAGTGACGTGTATGCTTGTTTTTGCCTCTCGACCCCAGTAGATACTCCTCGAGGGGGGACTCGTTTCCGGCGTTGCAGGCCCCCATCACTAAAATAACCTGCTCGACGCCATTGGAGGCCAAGAAGTCCAGTACGTAATCGACGAGGGGAACATTGTTGAGACGACATAGGATCTGCGAGCTGGTGGAGGCATCAGAGGACCACGGTTTTAGGCCGAAGGACTGGTAGTCTCCGCGGGCCGTCACTTTTGCTCCAAAAACTGCATCCGCGAGAACAACAGCCTGGAGTTTTTGGTTGCCCTCCTCCCGGAATTCGTCGTCGTTTTGCTTGCTCTTGGAAGGCATCGCTGAGGTATGTGCTGTGTTGTTTTGTTATGTGATGTGAATCAAATGTTTGAAATTCTAATTTTGTTTTGTAAAGCCTCGGGAGGAAAGTTTGCCTACGATCAATCTCCTATCTTTCTACAGAACCTACGCCCGTTGCTGTCGCAATCTTTAGTACTGATTTCAGATATGTCGTTTTGTTTCCAACACGCTTGTGTGGTGCTTTTCTTGGATGGCAATTAGATAAATGAAATGACAGATGAATTCAATGGACATATTCAAAGCCTCTATTATTTGCTTGGTTTGTTTCGTAACAAATCGAGGAGTGAATTTGTTGTCTCAGTAGTATTGCAGACTATCGTATGGTACGTACGTACGGTACTCGCACTAGCACAACAGTAGCGTAAACTCAGGCAATATCCATTCTCGTCCTCAAGGTGCGGTGGGAGTGAAGTTAGGAATGAAGAATCGAGACGTACATCATACGTAATTACGTCCCGTACTGAATTGCCAATCGCCATGCGCAAAAGTCAAAGTCCGGTACAAACAAAACCCATTTCATCCTATGAAGTATACCCCGCATACGTATCTGACCATCGGTAGTTTCTAGTTTCTAGGGTACATTTCTTATTTCTTTCCAGTTTCCAATCATGAGCGAGCGTTCTCGTACCGTCGGTTCGTCAGCCTACGGTACAGTGAGAGGGGAATACGGATGATGGAAGGACGGTATCTCAACCCTCTAAATTCCAAATATGAACTCAGTGTCTGTCCAKCCATACGGTACATCCCATGTGGCTCGTCCATCGGTTTTGCTTAACATGAGCTAACGGTTCGATAGAACAAATTGGTTTTGATTTTCAGCTCTTGATTTGATGATCTGACACATGCAAATCAGATATTGTAAAAAATACCGTACAGTAGTACGGTACCAAGYACCATTTACTGTACAATATTTTCCAAAAGGATATCCTGGCAGCCTCAAGTTTTCAATTATTTTTCGATAAAACGAAAGCAAACAGCATGAATGATTGAAAAACAGAGCCGCGGGCTGTGGCTCTACTAGATCAGGGCATTTCCCATGGCGGACGAAAAGCAAGAGAAAACAGAATGCCGATGGCACGACGGGTGAATGGATGGGTGACATGCGATGCCGAACTTACTCTCCAGCAATGGCAATATACACATATGCACCCACYAAATCACGAACCCGCAAGGATACATTAATCGCAGACAGCACAAGCAGAACAGGAAATGGCGAACGACGGAATCTATCATCCTCGCCGCCGTTCGTGCCACCATCCAAGAACTAATTCGGTATGTTCTTTGTCTGGTTCTTTCTGTACTCAAGTTTGGTCTGGCGCTACAGTTTCATCGTGTCATTTTCGTTAGCACAATTATCTATTTTTGCCGTAGACAGGACGACACTCGTTTTATAAACAACTATTGGAGCTGTCTGAATTATTCTGTCGTCCAAGACAAAATATTGCTGTTACGTTTCTGTCGGATCTACGGCATACGACAATGACCAAGGGTGCTATCGATTTGACACGGAACAAAACACGGTGATCATGATGCTCGTACCGAACCCACAATAAAATCATAGTAAACTTACCCTACCTGTCGCCATCGCTCCTGCTTTTTTGCTACATGCAGCATGTATTTCTTTGTGAAGAATGTGAACGGTACCAGTGGAAACAATGAAGATAACCACCATCAAATTCATTTCGGTGGAAAGGATTGAAAAAGCAACACGACAGGAGACAAACACCGACTACTGCACAAACCCCTTTCCTCGGTATTGTCTAGCGAAACCAATTTGACCGACTYATGTATAAGATGAATSCTTCTTTCTAACCGTGCACTCAAAGTCAAAACGATCGTTCTCTGGGCAAGACATTTGGCGAAGCAAAAMAAGAAGAAAATGGGACAGGGTATCCGCCACATGGATGGATATGAATATAGAATTTTAAAAATAGTCGACTCTATCACGCTGCAAATAATGGTACTTCGTATTGCACTATCGCCCTCCATCGTTATTGGTTTCGTCCGCTAGGATGTTTTTGGGAACCCRAAGGAAGAAAACCCAGTTCTGGATGGCGAAGACGCACCACCGGAGAAGGCCGAAAACGGAGAGGCGCCCTGGGCATCGTTCTYGTCGCTTCCGTTCGTAGTTTGACTACCATTGCCAAAAATGGAAGTCTTCTTACCGCTTTCACCAAAGGCAAATGGAGATGAGCCGTTGTTGCCGCTTTTCGGGGCGCTTCCAAAGCCAAAGGGAGGTGTTCCCTTCGAGGAAGCAGCAGCGGCTGCGAGCCCACCGAATCCAGGGCTTCCGCCAACAGTGGGAGCTGAGCTTCCGAACGCCCCAAATCCCTTGCCACCAGCACCGCCACCAACGGTTGTGGTGCTCCCGAAAGATGGCGTTCCGTTGGAAGGGGAAGCGGCTGCGAGTGCCCCAAATCCACCGCTTCCGAGATTCGCGGTAGTTCCAAAGGCAGGAGCCGAACCGGAAGCAGCGGCAGAAAAAGACCCAAAGCCCTTGCTTCCGGAAGCTTTGTTGCTTCCAAACCCACTTCCGAGAGTTGCTGTGGTTCCAAATGCGGGTGTCGTCTTGCCAAAGGTGGRGATCGAATCGGAAGCGCTAGCAGAAAATGCGCCGAATCCTTTACTTCCAGAAGATTTGCTGCTCCCAAACCCGCTTCCCAGAGTCGCGGTGGTTCCAAAGGCAGGGGTTGTTTTCGCCGTTTCGGTGGCTTGGGAAGTAAGGGCCTTTCCACCAAAGACGCTCGTCTTGGTGGTTTGGCTGGTGGGAATATTAGATCCGAATCGTGATCCTCCAAACACACTCTTTGAAGAAAAAGGGCTAGTGCTCCCAAACACAGAAGGGATGGACGTCGGAGTGGATTCCGGAAGTTTTTCTTTTTCGTCGTTGCTTCCAGCCGAGGGTAGATCGACCCCAGTTTCTTCGTCGATGGCCCCGCATGCCGCTATAGCCACGGACCGGATTGGCCGGGAGGTCTTGGGGTTGATTTCCACCTCACTCAGCTCCTCTAGMACATCCATTCCTTCCAAAACCTCCCCAAAGACCACGTGTTTGCCGTTCAGATAGGGGACCGCCTTCAGGGTAAAAAAGAACTGCGATGAGTTGGTGTTCTTTCCGCTGTTCGCCATGCTCAGCAGCCCCTTGCGCGAGTGGTTCATAAATCCGCTGGGCTCGTCCTTGAATTTGCCCCAGGCATCTCCGTGCTCGCTATTGGGGGGGTAGATCGATTGGCCCCCGCGTCCGTCCCCAGTGGTAAAGTCCCCGGCCTGGATGCAGAAACCGGGAACGATCCGGTGGACCTTCGATCCCAGGTAGCGGAGTGGCTTGTTCCGAGCGGTGTGCGTTTTCACTTCCCCCGTGCACAAACACCGAAAATTGTCGGCCGCCAGGGGTGCCTTGTCTCGATAGAGCTGCACCACCACCCGTCGACGGCGTTTTTCGTTCGTTTCACCATCGCCCTCCACAGAAAATTCCAAGTAACACCTGGGACCATTTCCGGCCGGCGGAGGAAATTGTGCCGACACGGGAGCTGGAGCCGCTGGATTGTACTTTGCCTCGAGTTTTCGAAACATTTCTTCCTCCCTGCCCTCGTATTTCTTCAGATTCGCATCGACGCTATCGATCTTGGACGGGTTGTATTTTTCATAAAATTTTGTCAGCCGTGTCCTGTAATCTTTGTCATCTTCAGAATCTGTGCCCTTCGGATCAGAATCCGTGCCCTTCGGTTTTGCTTTCGTGTCTCCGTCGATAGTAGCAGTCGTGTTCGAAAAAGGGGAAGAATCCAGAGACTTTGTGCCAAAGATGCTGGTGGTGTTGCTTTCTGAAGTGGTCAAAAATGAAGAAGCCTTATTCCCAGAGAACGATGAAAATGGCGACAGTGACCCTCCAAACAAGTTTGATTTCGTACCCTGGGAAGATCCTGAAGACAAGACTCCTGACGACGCACTGACACCAAATGGATTTTTTGGGGCCGCGCTGGCCATGGGCGGATAGGCAGAGGTTGGTTTTGGTTTTGCGGGCGTTGCCTCTGTCGTCTTTTGTGCAGTTTTTGCAGCAAATGGATTCTTGGGAGCTGCACTCGCCATGGGCGGATAGGCAGAGGTTGGTTTTG